AGTACTATTGCTGAATGTTAATACGTATAGTAAATATTTAAGGCTCTCGAATTAATGTTTATTGCAGTCCATAAGTTATGTCTTCTCAATCTGAAAAGGATCCATTAATCCCAGCACTCCCTTTTATAAGGCTGGCATTTATTGCCCTTTCCTAATTACCCCTGAGATGTTGGCAAACCACCATGAGCAGATGCAGGAACAACAGTGCTGTTAAGTCCTAGCTGATCTGTACTTCAGCTCTATCCAGTCCATGTCCTATATCTCAGCTCTATCCAATCCATCCACATCTCATGATATATTTATACATCAGTCTAAAATAAAATCCATTTCACCCTACACTACAACAGTAACTAACCTGACCCTAACTCTACAACAGTAACTAACCTCACCCTAACTCTACAACAGTAAGTAACGTAACACTGACTATAACTCAACAACAGTAACTACAGTGGACATTTTAACCTAAAAGAAAGTTTGTGTCGGGTGGGACATTTCAAGTTTGAAAAATCTTTTCCCAGCCCAGAATCCCCGGCATCTCCCACATACAGTTTTACCTGAGGCATAAAGTCGGGAAAGCAAACATCCTATTCCAGAGCAGCAGCTGGATTTTTAAATATGATAATGAGGCTGCAGGTTGAATTGTCATTGAACCTTTTAGCTTGCATTGTTATTGGCTGGGATTCCCCAGCTTCATGAAACCTGACAGCTTCATCAAGGTGACAAATTAGGACATGCAGGAGGTTTTACACCTACCTCCTTAATCCAGGGAACAGGCTGAAGAACCTCTAGAATCAGGCCCTCCATCACTGACCTTCATCTCAAAGCCTCAAAATCTAAACCCCCCTCCAAACAAAACCAAGGATGTGGCAGCCCCCACCCCCAATCACTATTGCTTCTTGCCCAAAAGAGCCCCCTTCTCACAGAGTCATACAGGATGGAGACAGACGCTTTGGTCCAACCAGTCCACACCGACCATAATCCCAAAGTAAACTAGCCCCACCTGCCTGCACTTGGCCCTTGTCCCTTCAAAAATTTCTTATTCATGTACTTATCTAAATGTCTTGTAAATGTTGTAACTCTACCTGCACCCCCACCACTTTGTCTGGCCGTTCATTCCACACACTAACCACTCTCTGTGTAACAATGTCCTCTCTCATGTCCTTTTGAAATCTTTTTCCCCTCACCTTAAAAATATGCCTGCAGGTTTTGAAATCCCCCAGCCTACGTAAAAGACCCTTGTCATTCCCTTTACCTACGTCCCTCTTGATTTATAAATCTGAATATGGTCACCCCTCAAACACCTACACTCCAGTGAACAAGTCTCAGCCTATCCAGTCTATTTTTTTTTATCTCAAACCCTCCATTCATGGCAACATCCTGGTAAATCTTTTCTGAACCCTCACCAGCTTAATAATATCCTTCGTATCACAGGGCAACCAGAATTGCACACAGTACTCCAGAAAAGGTTTCACTATCATCCTGTACAACCTCAACAGGATGTCCTAACTCCTAAATCTCAAAGCTGTAAGCAACGAAGGCAAGCGTGCTAAATGCCTTCTTAACCACCTTGTCTTACCTGTGATGCAAATTTCAAAGAATTATGTACCTGAACCCCTAGGTCTCTCTGTTCTACAACACTACCTAGGGCCCTACCATTAATTGTATAAGTTCTAACCTGTCCTTGTTTGAGTTACCAAAATGCAACACCTCACATTTATTCAAATTAAACTCCATCTGCCACTCCTCAGCCCATCGGCCCAATAAACCAGGATCCACTGCACCACCAATTTTGGTGTCACCTGCAAAAGTACCAACCATACTCCCTTTTAATTTAACAGCAGAGTACAAAGTGAAACAGTGAGATAGCCTGAACAGCTTCAGGATTGAATGGATGTGCTCTCTACACTATCAGGAAAGACCTGAGCAGGGAACGAGCTGAAGGGACTGTTGACGCAATGATTCTAGAATTTCAAACTATTCAAGCAATCTCCTGACCTTTGACTGTGTTTTGCCACAACCTGCCTTCCTTCACCAGTGGTTTATAACTCTATCAGAAGAACTTTAAATTATCTCACTTGCCAATTACTGAGCTGGCTTGGCTGAACCATTGGATTGCACAGCCAGGTGCAAGTCCTGGCCACCCTGTCTGATTGGTTTGAAACACTGGAAACAAATAAAGTCATAAGTCACACAACACCAGGTTATAGTCCAGTAGGTTGAAATCACGAGCTTTCGCAGCGCTGCTCCTTCATCAGGTGAAGTGATTTCTGACTTTGTCCACCCCAGTCCAACACCAGCACCTCCACATCAGGGAAACAGATAGCACAACCCCACAGCAAAGCACGCTGCACCCTCCCATCTGCCCTCCCAACCTACCCAGCACTCTGCTTCAAAAAGACCTCATTGGCTACAAAACGTTTTGAGACTTCTGAGAGCCTGGAAGGTGCTAAACAAGTACAAGTTCTCCTTCCTTTCTTTGCCCTAGCAGCCATTATTGACTCAATTTCATTTTCAAGTTTGCTTAATTATTGTAACATGCCTCTCATGACAGTACAGGAAACTATTGTAATGGTTTTATAATTGTGTATATAGTAATCTGGAATGATTCAGAAACTTAAATCCCACCTGGCCACTAGGGAATTTAAATTCTGTTAGTAAATCTGGAATAAAAAGCAAGCATAGTGACAATGAAACTACCAAATCAATAAATCCCCTTTGGTGCACAAATGTCCTTTGGGGAAGGAAATCCTTGCCCCAGTCTGGCCTACCATGTGACTCCTGACAGATAGCAATGTGCTTGACTCTTAGCTTTGCAAAGTGGCCAAACAAGACACAAAATAATTCTCAACTACACAATGCAGTTTGTCTCCACACATCATGCATCCATATTTTTTGTGAATTTTTTTTTATACTGTGTGGATGGACTACAGAACAAAAACTACGACAGACAGAATTTGGAAAAATTAAAAATGATCGTGGGGTATACAAGCACAAAAAGTCCTTTGCTCCAATCTCTGCCTGGAGTTCAGGAACAGCACTGAAGTTAACAGGTCCTTAGGAATGAGGGAGATGGACAAAAAACGGGGCCATGGGACTAAACGTGACTGTTATTTCAAAAAGCCAGCATAGGCATAGGGGTTGAATGGCCTCCCTCTGTGCTGTAGATTTTTATAAGTAATTTTCTCTGTACATCCAGCCCTCAGTTATTAGGCTTTTTTAACATTCACTGAACTTGCTTTCCTGACCCCCGAGTTAGCTGGTATTTTTCATAGTTCCCTTTCCTTGTGTAGTCTCCATCTTTGATCATTTGTCTTATTAATTTACAGACCCATCTCCAACTCTGATGAGCGGCTCTGATGAAGAGTCGTCTAGACTCAAAACATTAGCTTGCCTGCTCTCCATGGATGTTGTCTGGCCTGCTGTGACCTCCAGCATTTGTTGTTTTTAGTACATCTCCAACCTTGCTTTTCTCTGCAAAGTCTTTGAATATCCTCACTTCTCAAATCCATACACATCTTTCCTACAGTTCCATGTTTGAATCTGTCCAATCAGAAAGGCTTGCATTTCTGTAGCACCTAGCTGCAGGGCCATCCATAGCTCCCTACAGCCAGTGAATTAAATTGGAAAGTGTGTTTACTGTTGAAGGAAGGTGCTTGTGGTGAAGGGGTTGTGTTTCTCCCTCTGAGGCTAGATGCTCTAGGTTCGTGTTCCTCTTATCAAACTGTTGGCCACAGAAGGTCTGTTCATAATGTTACCAAGCAGGTGATTATCAGCCTGTAAATCCTTCCTAACTGCCTGATGTCAGTTGGAAATAGCAGGAGATGGTTTTCTGGCCAGCCATTATGCAGAAGGAGTATTTCTGTTTTGGAAATCACTGGTAAAATACTGGACTGGGGAAATAGGTTAAAATGCAACCATGGCACCTTGTGGAATTTAAATTCAGTTCATGAATCCAGAATATGAAGTTCCTCCTGGTAATGGCCATGACAGCTATCACTGAATGTTGTTCACTCATATCCTTTAGGGAAAGAAATCTGCTGTCCTTAACCTGGCCTGGCCCTACATGTGACTCCAGATCCACAGTAACATGGCTGACTCTTAACTACCCTCTTAAATGGCATAGCAAGACACTCTGTTCAAGAGCAATCACGAATATGTAACAAATGCCAGCCTTGCTTACAATGCCTACATTCCATGAAAGAATAAGAAAGCATTGCAGTATTTTGCCAAACCTAATCATTGAAGTTTCTGGTTGCCAACACTGCCTTTGAGGATCTGAGGAGATAGTCTCTATTTTCTGTCAGCCAGCCGATTATCTATCTGTTCTAAAGAGGCAAGTACCTACTAATCCTCAGCTATCATACTCCTCCATCCCTTCACAGCATTGAAATGGCTTTAACACAGTCACGAATAACATCCACCACATGACAATGATCAGAGTAAATGATACTCTCCTCTTCTTTCTCGAGCTCTCTGCAGCCTTGGCCACATTGACCGGATCTCCTTTCCTGTACCATTACCCACAGTAGTCCAGTGGGGCCCTAATCAGTATCACAGTGAAGCAAAACAGCTGTGGATAGCCCATCCAGAAGTGCTTCTCAGGAGCAATTATCAAACAAAATTTGGCATGGAGATAATCAGGATATGACCAAAAGCTAGCTTAAAGAACTGGTTTAAGTAGTGTCTTAAAAAAAGAAAGACTAATGGAGAGATTTACCTTCCAGTCCTTTCTATTCTGAGCCTCATAAATTCCAGCATTATTCATATAGCCTTTTTAACAGCCTTGTCTGTTTGTCAATAATCTGTATTTTGCTGTACTTTTGCTACAGGATACGTCTGTCTTCGTACATTGATCCTGGATTGAGTATTGAGCCATACATTATTCTGAGCCCTAAACAGCTCCTCTGCAAACAGGCTGGAAGATATTTCCAGAAGAAAGTGAGAAACATCCAGGTAATCACACAGTGGCACAGAGAAAGACCAAATTGTGTTAATCCCAGATGAGACCTGGGGCTTTGCATGAAATAAGATGGTAGGGCTAGCAATGGTTTTGCACAGGATTTGAGAGGTGACCTTATTAAAACATACAAGATTCTTAGGAGATAGTAGGAACTGCAGATGCTGGAGAATCTGAGATAACAAGGTGTAGAGCTGGATGAACACAGCAGGTCAAGCAGCATCAGAGGCGCAGGAAGGCTGACGTTTCGGGCCTAGACCCTTCTTCAGAAATGGGGGAGGGGAAGGAGGTTCTGAAATAAATAGGGAGAGAGGGGGAGGCGGATAGAAGATGGATAGAGGAGAAGATAGGTGGAGAGGAGACAGACAGGTCAAAGAGGTGGGGATGGAGCCAGTAAAGGTGAGTGTAGATGGGGAGTTAGGGAGGAGATAGGTCAGTCCAGGGAGGATGGACAGGTCAAGGGGGTGGGATGAGGTT